CATCATGACACTAGGGATCACTCTATTTCCGCGCCATCTAATTTCTTATCATACTAGTAAAAATTACGCACAAAAGTATACTACATTTATTGTTATTATAATTGTACAACACAAAGTAACAATAAAAATTTTGCGATAAAATAACAAGTCACAATAATAAGTGGCATTTGACCTGGTAAGCATTTCAGATGTCGTTCATCGTAAACTAGTATTTTCAAAAGTAGTTAAAATATTTAATGATAAGTGACGTATGTTAATTAAACTACTAGAATTTTGTGTAAGTTTATATAAATTTTGTTATGGTACTACTGGAATTATTTTTTCGATGTACAACTGTAATGCATAGTTCCCTCTTCTAGAGACTAAATTTGGAGAAAATTATAGCATAGAAGAAATGTCGCCAAAACCACAGGGGAATTAAATGTAAGAAAAGCACAAGGAATGTAAAATTCGTAGCCCTCGGGCCGCGTACGGCCCTCTACTCGTATGTTTTACGAGGTCCCTTATGTCTCAATTGTAAAAAATTCTGAACTTCAAATGTACGTCAAATAGCGACTTGTGCACTTTTTTGTGTTTGAAATAAAAAGAGTTGAAATGTGTTTCGGTAAAATTCACATTTCTGTTAACTTCCGAAAAAATTAACGGAAATAAAAACATATTTATAACTTAAGTACAGAATAAAAGTATTCGGTTAATAACTCTGCGCACCTACGTGATGGCCCCAGAAAGTCTACTCTTTTAAAGGGCTCATTAGTAGACACTGATTTCTTCATCCCTGAAATACAGGATACTAAACAGAATTCTTATATTATACACGCAATAAATAGTAGTTTTATAAATGGTTATATGCACAATACAACGTTAAGTTACATTATTTGCTTTTCAACGTCTCACAAGAAACTTAAAACAGATAATTATATGCCTAAACCTATTATTTACTTGCGACATAAATTAAATGCTCCGTGCTGGTTGGAACCGCTTGAAGTCTCAATTAGAGTTCACAATACAAAGTTAGTTTTATATAAAAAGATACATGTCATCTGGTCATTTCCTTTCTTAGTACGTACAAGGGACACATGTCTGTTCGGTTTGTCTTGTCTTGTCTTGTCGGATTTGAGGTTTTCACGGCGGTGAGACTGAAGATGGCTGTCTTCTGGGTTGCTTGGTCACTTCAACAACTTATTTACGAATTAAGATACTTCATGTATAAGCAATATACTAATTAAACACTTTATTTAACTATCAGTACAAATGACAAAACGGTGAAGATGGAGAATTTTCAATATTTAATTAACTACTAACTCCAATTGTGTTCTAGAAGCTTTATGAACTTTAAAAGCGCTATTTTAATTTTAGTTTGCTTACGTTTCAGTGAGATGTGCGTTGTTTTTCAAAAACTTGACAAATTCCGAGCAAACCTGAAATATGGCGTCTAAGTTGCACCCACAAAAACAGATTTTAATAGCCTTTTGCGAACCTAGCCTCAATCTGAAGCTCATCTAAATAACATTTAGAAATTCAGTTCTCCGTTACAAATATCAATTAATTAATGCGTTTTAAGGAAATAACAGCTGTTTATTGTGAGAATCACAAATAAACTGCGTGGGAAAAATATAGAGAAAGCGGTTCTTAAAACAAGAGGTAATAATAGTTACCACTGAGCCTTAAAAGTTAAAAGAGCTACAACGAACAACGTCCTGTTCAAAATCAGGGAAGTTCTGAGTCACGGAAACGATTCACCAGACGAGATATTATCGATTTGTGAAAATTGGAGGCGACATAAAGAAAGGAAATACGAAAGAAAGGAGAAAATCAATCAAAAGATTTATAACAACGAAAAAATTCACAAATGTACGCCTACAGATTCACACACAAATTCTCCCTAGAATCAGATATTATGAGTGCATTAGGTAGAGTTATCACACAACACAGAACAGTCTCCATTACACTTATTCCATGCAAATGACGCCATAATTAATGCAGCAGTGTGGGGTGGAGTGACGCTTATTGGGAACGTCACTGTAATTATCCGCAGTTTAGACCAGAGACCGCTGCCACGGCGCTCGGCGGCGCGTATAGGATTCCGCCATCGACTCACAAAGGCGACAGCTGAAGACAATGCTTTATGATAAAATTAATGCCACGATGTAAACCGCCGAGTATTTAAGCAGTTTTAAGTCCGAAGGCTAAGACTTTCTACGTTAAAAAATTTTAGTTATTGAAAAATCGTTAATTCTCTCCTTTTGCCCTTTAAGGGCCGGTGGTAATGACGTGTACCGGTAGTACGTGCTTACAGCGTTTATATCCTTAAACAGGATTAACCAGTTGATCATTGCAATGGTAAAATGTTGTATAATCTTTGAATAAAGGGCCGAATTCTTAAATATTATGTGTGTGAGCTTCGGTTCAGATAAAATTCAAGGAAGCAAATGACATGAAGCGAGAAAAGGGATAAAATAAGCCCACACAAAATGGGGCCGCGTAGAATTTACTAAAGTTGCCACTTACGGCGCGTAGTAGTAGAAGGAATTGTTCTAGAACGCATGTGAAATAACTAGGGAATGAGGGCCTGTTAATATTTAATTTTATAAAAGTCGGATAATTTGTCGGTTAGATAACGGACGCCGGAGAATTTAAATTGTTATAAGGACTCTGCTCCATGGAGTCGGTTAAAGAACTCTGGCGGTAAGTCGAAACTCAGACCCATGCCAATTTCTCCAATGATTTATTATTTTATACTCACCACAAAGTCTTAGAAGCAACAAAGCACATGTATGCGAAAAGCTTTATTGTGTGCAAAATGCAAAATATTTATTCAAAATCCAAGTTCAGTTACAATAAAATATTCAAAGCTTCCCATTTTCCTTCAAGATTATACCTTGAAATTTACCAAAAATCTGTCACCGGGCACAATTTAATGAGATTTGTTTTTTGTTGGAGGGAGAAGATTACGGAATTATGCAGATCTTGACTGCATGTTGTCCTTGGCAAGATTCTGAAACTTTTGATTTTTCTAAAATATTTTCGTGTTTTGTGAATAAATGCCACTTCCGTAGAATCTAAGGCCTCTAGCTACGAAATTTAACAAAAGATTTGACAAACTATAGAACCAGTAAATAAAGCTATCAGTATATGTAATATTTTGTCGGAATTCGATTAATATAAATACACAATATTCTTCCATTTCGTGCCATACAAAAAGCTACGAGTAAAACGTTTTCCAAACCGAAATAGTCAAGTGAATGCCTTAAATTTTTAACAACTGTTTAAAAGCATGTTCAATGGTGAATTTCATTATAAATGCGACGTTTCGGAGGCTGGCGGTCTCCTATCGATCTACAGAGAAAGAGCAGAGAATTAGCATTTGAAACATCATACAGCCCCAGCAGCAATTACGGTGGTCTCATGCCAGTCGGTTGCTTACCGCCGTCAACTATGCCACGAAGCTAACGGTGGTCATTTTATATTCGCGGATTCACTAACTCCCAATGCTGATGTACTTAATTGCTCAGTTTATTAAAATGTCCTTACTCCTTTCAATAAACTTGTATATATAATTTATATGGACATTCTATGTACGTAGCGTCTGCTCGAAGTCCAAATTGTTTGTTGTAATCCATTTGAAGAAATTATGACCAAAACTACAACGTAGTATAGTAGATAACGATACATGCACTAAGTGTATTATTAAACAACACTTAATATATCTGTAAAATACATGTTGCATGTAGCCTGGTGGACAAATACCTCGCCTCCTGTATCACGTACATGAAATAAAGGTATTAGGGAATTAAAGTTGATGTAAGAAAAATACATCTGTCTTCAATTAGATAACTGAAGTAGATCCTGTTGCTTGATCGTTAGTTAATAAGTACACATAATGCTTAAACTAATGGTGGCATAGTACTTAACAAGTAACCAAAAGTAAGCTAATGAACACATAAGCAAAGTCAAGCCGGAGAGAGGACCTCATGTTTAGTCTCAATGACACTAAGCCTGTTATTTCTTATACTTTGTCGCTTTAAAGTAAGATGGTAACGATATGTACCACCTGCTTTATACATTCACTAACTCTGCATTTTGCCTACAGATTGTATTTATAGGTTTCATATGATTCTCAGAACAAATAACGATTATTTCCTTAAACAAGTCAATCACATGATATTTGTAACGATGAACCGTTATGCTTTCTTTGAGGTACGGGCTAAATTCTTAAATACTATTTAGATCAGTTTCGCATTTAAAAGGGTTGGTGCGCATTTATTATAAAGATTAATTATTCTGGGTGGAATGCCAAGAAGACGAAGGTGAATTAAATACAAACTAAGCCTGTACTTCAGCCAACAGACAATGCCCAATATAGAAACCATATAATGAATCCACTCTTATCACAAAACTTCAGATAATCAATCATTGGAATAACACTAACAGAATATCCTCGTGACGTTTTACGATTCTAAAGAAGAAACATCTATTCTTCGCATTTTCAAAAATAATACCAACATTTCGTAACAACAAAAAGTTTGTTAGCCTCCTGAACACGACGTGCTATGACGTGGTGACAAGAGACACGCTTTAATACGACGCTTCAACATCCAAAAACGAAATAGTTCTTATGAAAATTTAACAGAAATAGTTTCTAGACTTAATACATGACGTTACAGTCAACTGTATTTGCATATACTCTGTATAATTTAACCAGTAAACAAATTAAGCAATTGTGTTACCAAAGATGGAGAAACAGCTAGCTTACTGAAAACTCTCTTCTCCTGATCGGTATTAGTGTACTTTGATCACTTGGAGGTGTAGCCTAACTTGTATTAATTAGACTTTAATTCTACAATGAGTTTTACTGCGAGCGAAGGAGTCTGTCACTTCTATTATACCGTGAAGTCAGGCCGACCCACAGCACGGGAAGTTCCCTTGACGGTTGCGCTGACAATAAAACTCATTGCCTGACGCTTAGTGAACTAGGTTGATAAAAAATGGACGTCACTTGCCTGCCGCACCTGTTTGAACTGCTCCTCGAAGCTCCACGTCTGCTGTTGCTGTGACGGTGAGGGCGACTCGGAAGAACGCGGTGACCCCGCGTTGATGGAATTCTGCAGGGCGGCGACTGCTGCAGCTGCTGCCGCCGGCGGCGGCGGGAACGTGTGAGTGGCGGCGACTATGGGAGGCGGTGCTGAGTTGGCGGAGCTGATGGGCGGCATGAACGCGGACGTCGGATGATGGAAAGGGAAGGACAGTGGCAAGGAAAAGGCAGGTGGGACCATGGGGTTGGCCGATGGGGTGACACCATGCTCCCGGGGGCTCTTGCGGGGGGATGGAGGCTGGTGGTGTGACTGTGACTGAGCGTGGGCCTTCAGCTCCCGTTCTATCTCCTCGCGTTCCTCTCGTTCCTGAAACAAATCGAGAAAATCGCGATCGATATTTTCACTGCCGTGAAACCGCAATTGTAATCTGAATACCGACTATCAGCATTGCAACCGTGTTTAAAATATTAAAGTTCACACAAACGAATCTTCATACAAAACCGCAGAAACGCGTGCAGAGAATAAATTATCCCTCTGAAGCCGATTCTTCTCTAATGTGGAAGTGCCTCCGTGTGTTTGTTCAATTTCAAAATTACTTTAACGCATAATAAATGCAATTTTAATAAGTACCAGTTCGCTGATCTTGGTGAATTAATAATATTAACAGCCTTAACTATTTACACAATTTCCGAGTCCGATTTTCGTCTGCAAGTAATTATTAATCTGTTACACATATTGAATCTCGCGTGATATTCTGTTCTTTCCATAAATTAAGTCTCAAAAAACTCGGTTGTTCAAGAGATTTCCCTTTTACGATGCCCGAAGGTCCACTTCTCTCTTTACAAAAGCTTAAAACTAGATCTTATTCTGAGCAAGAGAAATCCAGCCGGCTTACACTAGCTTTTTGTATTTTAATCGCGTTCTCCCATTTATGCGTAGGTCTCTGAAAGTGTCTATTTCTTCAGATGTCTTGATACAAATTTTATATACATTTCTCATCTCCCAGTTCGTGCTACACTTCCGCCCATCTCACTATCCTCCTTGATTCGACGACTCTCAAGCGTTAAGATCTGAAGCAACGTAGGGTCATTAAATTCTTCCCAGAACTTCTTGTTCACTTCCATAATATGGGATATCATGATATTTAAATTATCTAGTGAAGGAACAGAACTGTAAACATTTTAAAAAATCCGAATTTTCACAATAATTAAGGAATTTTTGAAAGACTTTTAAAAAATGGGTGGTTCGTCTACAAATTTCGGAATCGACACAAGTCCATGTGGATAGTCATGATATGGATACAGACCTGCTGTTTGAGCCTGGCGAGGACCTCCGGGTCTCCCACATCCTCCACCGGAAGTCTGGATAGAGTGTCTTCGCTGTCCTCGTCTGGCATCTCCGCCTCACTCAGTTCATCGTCATTGTTAGACTGAAAGAGAAAGTCAGAGTCACGGTCTGTCTGTTCACCACTCGCAGGTCTTAATAACACCAGATCCTCCTCCGATCCTGAACACCAAGGTCTAAAGGCGTTGCAGTAAGACCTCGCGCATAATAAACCTCATCGACTTTTAGCCCAAGAGTGTTTCAACCCCGTGGAAAGAGTTTTGGGTGCCCGTGAGACTAGACTTTCTGCCAAAGTGGAAGTGTGGCAAAAGAGAAATGACTGCCCCCACCTGGTACAGAACCCACATCCTTTATAATAAATATTTTTTACCTTGCATATACTGATTTTATTTCGAGACAAGAAACTGCCTCAAGTAACATTCTAAAACAAAAGAGATAAAGATTCAGGAAGAACAAATAGCAAGGGAGTAGAAGAACAGACAGAAATCGGGGGGTAAGTGACAGACACTATATTTCCTTGGGGAGAATGAGAGAAAAAGAATCTTATTTCCTTACTGTCAGAAGGTTCCCAGGCAATGCCCGCTCGTCATTCTGATGATTACTGAATAAAAGTAAAGTCATAGGGGTAGCAAGGGGTGAAAGAGACAAAGATAGAGACGTGTGGATTAGTGGATGCATACATCCATCGATTCCATGAAGGATAATTGTCAGAGTCAAGAGTAAACAAACCCGGTATCCATGAGACAGAAAGCTGATTGAACCCCACAGACAACACATGGATGTTGTGGGAAAAGAAATAACCCTGTCCCTGTCGGAAAACGAACCCCAGCCACACATCATACCGACTGAGCTACCACGCCCATAAAGCATATAGTTAAATAATTTAGAAAGAATGAACGAGAAAGACATGCAGCAATAAGATTGTACAACATTTTTCAAGTCCGCATCGTGTCTTTTATGTTGTCCGGTTTTGAACAGATGCAGTGATGGCAAATCAAACAGCTGTACATACTATTGATCTCTTAGCACAGTGGATCCATCGTTTGAGGCTCTCTGTCAATGCAAGTAGGATAACTAATAATAATTATAATGATAATGCCAGCTAACACCGCATGCATGACTTCAAGCAAGAAAAATTCTAACACTGATTTCAATGCCACTTACAAACGTAATATATAGTGACAAGATACCTCTTACTGAAGAGGTACAGAGTATCTAGTAGACTGTGGTAACTTTGTACAGACAGAGCGATCCAGCAGACTGTGGTAACTTATCATCAAACAATAATGAGACACCAACTGGTCTTCTAAAAGCCCAGTAGCAAACATATCCTGTCGAGAAATTAGGCTAGTTTTCCTTGTAACTGGCCACACGCAAACTTCCATCCTCCGGGCGGTCACGAACACTGGTAATAGAAGGCAAAATAATAAAAACTGAGAGGTAAAAAAGTGTAGTTTACCTGCTGCACACGGCCAAAATCTTGATGAAACCTTTTTTTTCCTGTACAAGATGATAATGATGTGTTTCAACTAATTGTTAAATCTAATTTCAGTTTTATAAACAACGCACAAGCCGTCGAAATTCCGTTCTTAATATAATATCTTTGACTGTCTTCGTGCTCTATAAAAACTTAACTAACAAGCTCTTACAAAATTTATTATTTAAACAACTAATCTTGTAGATCTATACAACTGAACTGTAAAAGCATAAAATCACGCAAAACGAACTGTGCGTGTGTAAACTCCCTTCGTCATTCATCGATTATACACGGGCTGGAACCGAAGTGAGAAAACATGGCGCTACTGGACATGGAATCTAAATTGTTCTTAACACCACTCAAGAAGTGGAGACAGTATCTACAAAGATCTCTCAGTCGGTAAAGAAGCTACAATTTCTTCACGATGTTTAGACCCAAGTAAGTGTAAATACTGCGTAGAAGCAGAGATACAAATTCGGTCTGTTAAACTTTGCACGACAAAATTATAAACCAAACAGAAGACCTCACACTGAACTGGACTTAATCAAACGGAAATCGTCTGCATTTGTTTTCCAACTACACCATTTGACTCTACAAGAGCATTGGTGATATCATCTCAAAACAAAACATGGGCTGGGCATTCTGAAGTCACTAATCTTTCAACTTCCTTCAGCCAATCAACCAACTAAATCCATAATGCAGGATATAAATTACATTAGAAAGCTACTAGTTACTAATCTTGGCAAAATTTTTATAAAAACCGAAAGATATCACCCTTTTGAGTATTTGAATTTCGAAGCCCTCTATAAGTATAAACTGAAGATGGAGGCATTATGTTCCTCTAAATAGTTTCTATCTAAAAAGAAGCCCACACAGCTTCATTGCCGTGACAACGTTATACCTCACAAAGAGTGGGCCTAGTAGAAGCTAGGAACGGCTAAGACGATAATTAAAATCCGTGTTGTTGATTCTTATGACGACAGCAGTACTTCCATCCGTGAAGTAGCCTAAAGGAATCGGATAGGAATATATTATAAACTGTACACTTTTTAGGTGGGATTAAATGGGTGAGGCATAAAGCACGCATAGAAGTGATGAGAAACAGATTTTACTCAGAAAACTTGAAGAGATCACAATTCGTCGTAGAAGGATAAAATAAATTTTAAAGATGTGACAAACTGGATTTATCTGGCTCAGGACCGGGTCAAATGGCGGGTTCTCGTAAACACGGTAATGAATATTTGAGTTGCATACAAGTCGAGCAAATCTGTGGTAGTTATTAATAAAAAAACGAATTAAGAAGCATTTTGAAAATAGGCAGTCGTGGCTTAATTTAAGACACAGCCTCTAAATTTGCTTAAAGAGACTGAGAAAAACTACGAAAACCTCAGTGAAGCCCGTCGATTTCCCGGCCGAGATTTGAAACCGGGACCTACCGAATACGAAGCAGGGGTGCCAACAACTCGTCCAAATCGTTCAGTACATCGACGCAATGACGCAGTTTGTTACACTCACATGCCATCACAGTGAGTAAGTACTAACACTGATTTACAAAGAAACAGCTCCTTACTAAATTGTGTCGCCTTTGTGATTAAAATTACTTGGACCTTGGACATATTTTGCAAGCATTATTATTCAGATAAGTATGTGACGACGTTTAATATTAACTAAATGCATGATCTGCGTACCATCATGTGATTGACAAATGAAGAACGTGAAGTGAATAATATGAAGAATGCTAATATTTACACGTCACTATTTGAAGATGTGGTAGGAGGGGGGGGGGAGAATTTTTCCTAGCATGAATACTTTTGATAAAACTGACTGCACTATGTACCTTTACCAACGAGGGTGGCGTCATCGCTGTTGACCTTAGCTCTGAATGTATTAATCTAATGCAAATGAATTGAAAATAAGATTACGGTGTGTTGTATCGATTAATTTCTAATGAGAACACGCTTGTTGGACCTAAGACATACGACCGTCACGGAAACAATGTGTTCCTAATTCACTCACACTTGACGTTTCATGCATGGTAATATTAATATTAGATTTTTACATTCGTCTCTCAAACCTACATGCCGTGGTAGTATTTTTCTAATTTCAAATATGATTCTATAAACATTTAAACCTTTAAGAATAGCTACCTTTAATATTAAGTAATTACATGTTTCCCACAGTGTATTTCTATGCTTCTCACTGTAAACTACGTTTATTTCCTTAAACAGCATTAATCACTTTATCTTTGTCATGAAGAAATGTGTTTTCTTTGCGGTACGGACTGAATTTTTTAAATATCATTTTCTCGAGCTTCGATTTCCAAAGGGTTAGCAACTAATTAACTACTTACACTGAGAAGAGATCTTCGACCCTAAAGATGGAAGCAGTATGTATCTCCGAAACATTGGTGTCTAACATGGCGTTGTAATACAGAAGACAAAATAATATATAGTGAAATCGACATATTGCGAGGCTCCTAATTATGTAATTTCCTTCTCATTGCAAAGGTCAATAATAATATAAATCTACTGCTATGAAGTGTCCATGTTGAGACATGCGTTAAACAGAAAATGCTATGATGGAAACGTACAGCAAATTCTGTACACACACGCTCGTTAATTAATGAACCTTGAACGCATGTAAATAATAGTGTTTTAAATTCCACTTCCTCCGGAGATAAATCAAATTCTTACGTAACTATACACATTACGTTATCGGATATTAACGCAATGCTCGACGTATATGAAGAGCGACTCTGATGTAGGAAATTTATCTTCAACCCTACGAAGCATAGCGGCTATCCAAATGATATTTAAATATCCAGTTCGTACCGCAAAGAAAACACCACACTTCACCATTAGAAAGATCGACTGGTTAACGCTGTTTAAGGAAATAATCGTTGTTTATTCTGAGAATCATACGAAATCTTAAAGTACGCTTCTCAGTAAAATACAGAGTTATTGTATTTTAAAGCAGGTGGTGTATATAGATACCACTGGGGTTTAATGGGTCACCTTTCATCCTGAGGACGGAAATAAATCCAGTCCCCAAAGCGTTGTGTTCTTTGAAGGGCACTAGACGACGGACAAATTAAGAACAGATTAGAATTTATATTGTGAACATAATCGGTCCCAACAATCAACCTTCAGGTACCATAATAAGAGGAAATATCTTGGAGAGATTTCAGATTCTCGCGGATATGATTATGAAGATGGTTGTCTGCTCGGATTTTGCGGCGTAAATTCTAGCAGAAATTTTCCAACATTTCAAGAGTGCCTACAGCCTTCATTATTAGGGCGATGACGTAGGTCAATTTCCATCAGACTACAGGGCCACCTTCAGGAAATTCCTTGACCAAGAAAAAAAAACCTGTACTATGGAGTCCGTCAAATACCTGGTGTTAGACGCAAACCTTTAAGATATTTGACGCAGTCAACAACGAAGATGCTTTCGTTACAGCTAGTACGTCAGGCGGTCGTCTCAGATAATATATTTGTGATATCGAGGTCCCTGCTTCAGGGAAAACTTCAGGATTCAACCACCCGCAGCGGCTCAGTCACACATACAGCGGACCCTAGCAGCTTGCTGACCTTGCTGACTCGAGGCGG